AGCTGGGTTGGGATTTAGGTTGGACTCCAGTTAAAACTTAGGTCACCATAAAGTTGGCTCTCGTGAAGCCACAGCTCTTAAAAAAAGAGGGTAGGACTGGTTTGTCTGTGTCACCGATGCTGCTGGGATAACACCACACAGCACCACAGAGCTGACATCTGGGACTAAGCAGAGTGGGCCTCTGGAAGACAGACGGGCTCTGGGGCCTCTTCTGCTCTGGTGGAGCTGCCTGCTCAGGCGACCCAAGTACCACCTGCTTCGTTCCCATCTGCTCACTTTCCCTGTGCTAGAGTTGGCTGAACTCCAGCTAACCCACTTGCAAAGCCCTTGGCCGGACTGTGCTGCTGAGGTCCAGGAATGGTAGTTCAGGGCAGGAGACCCAGGGGTCTACTGTCCAGTGCTGAAGGGTGATCTATCCCAGTATAGGTGACAGATGTAACTTACTGCCTAGGACTGAAGGGTCCCTAGCCTTCTGTGATGTCACATCTACTATTCCTGCCAGATGGCATGTACCAGGGTTACAAGGTAGAGGGTGTTAGGTGGTCCTGCCCTCGTGAGGCTCTGGGCTGTTGGGAACAGATATGTGACCAACAGCCCATCATGACCCCTCCTTCCTCTGCTCCCCCCTACAGGATGGTCCATCTCCATGGAGACGCCACACAGCCTTGGCACCACCAGCTCCCCCTGGCCTCTGCTGAGTGGCTCTAGTTCTGAGCCTGGAGCTACTGAGCTGACCCCACTCTGAGAGCCTGGCTCAGCCGGCAGCACAGAGCCCTCAGTATCCCCAAAATTGCCAGGAGCTTCCCTGGAGCCCAGTGAGACCCTGGCCTCTCCTGTCTGCAAGCCTGATGTGGCCACTGGGCTTTGAGGGGCTATAGTGAACCTTGATCAAACTGCACAGTGGGCTGCTCCCTCCCACACCCTCCTTTTCTATGGTCGATATATTTGTAAATGGTACAAGATGAAGGACAGCAGCTTTCTCCATGGGCCATAGGCCCTAGAGGGGCTCCCCAACTGTCAAGGTTGATGCTCTAAGCACTTAGCAAACCAGCAGAAGAAAATCTACCCATGGAGTGAAGTTCTGGAAGGTGGGCAACCCAGGTTACGGTTGATGAAGGAAACGGTGCCTGTCTACCTGTCCCGTGTGTGTCCTCCAAGGCAGCCAGGCCGTCGCTGCTGCTTTCACCTTATGTATGTCCTGTCCATGGGTGACCCTCCCTGGAGCCTCCAGGCCCCCTCTTGCTCTGCTCTGTTCCCTACTAGTGACCTCTGGCAGCTGGGGCAGCTGTGGGCAAGGCCTGGGTGGTGAGATTGTGTTAACAGCACAGCCATCTGCAGTGGTTGGTATCCAGTACCCCCACAGGTCCTGTTTCACTCACTTCCTCACATGCCTCCAAGATGGAGATGTTCACACTTGCAGGGTGCCACTGCCACTGCCCACCACCTGCCAGGGAAGAGCCTGAGCAGCTCCCAAAGCAAACCCGTTGGCAGTTACATGTCCTTTTGCGTTTCTCATTGGTTTATTGTCTAAGATTCCTGTCATAGCCCACCTAGGAGCAGGGTCCCAGTGATACTTAGCCTCTAAGGCAAAGGGCCCATGGGTGGTCCCAGGGCAGAGGTACCTAGGCAGTGCAGCTACCCTGGTAGGCGGGTATGGAGCTGCCCTGCCACTCACCCAGGTGACAACCTATAGTAATGCATGGAGCCCCCTTTTAGGCTCAGGGTTGCTTGAGCTCTGGCTCTGCCTCTGCTCCTTTCTAGCAGTGGCTGGCCTGGTCTCTGGTAAGCCAGTGAGCAGAGCCCTGTCTGAACATCCATCAGCCCTCTCCTGCTGAACGCACACATATGCACACACATCAGCATGTGCATGTCCACCCCTCACCTGCCAAAACCCTGGCCTCTGGCCGTGGTACTGGTGCCAGTACTTTGAAAGATGGGATACAGACTACAGACTCTCATGTCTCAGATTCACATGTGCTATCATTTGATGTACTCTGATTGGCTAGTTTTTTGTTTGTTTTTACTGTATATTTATAGTAATAAAATCATGCAGCAATATTCTGCGCGTGCCTTTGTTCTGGCACAGCACCGTGGGCAGGCAGTTGTTCCTTGATGTAGTGGCAGGACACTGAGTGGCTTCTGGTAGCTCCTGACAGATTTTGGTGTCGCCTTCATCTGCTTTTGTGAGAGGAGCAGCGAGTACTCCCCTCCAAACACAGGCCAAGATTTATTGCTATTTGTTTTGTTGTTTGCTCTGTCTGGAGTGAAGCCGGACTTGAAATTTAGCTCACCTCTCCTAAGCAGTTGGTGGATTTCAGCCTCCAGGTGGGCAGGTTGTCCCGGTTCTTAACATCCACCCCAGCTCTTCTGATGTCTGCTGAGCACTAGCCATGTGCCAGAGGAGGGCAAAGGGAGTCACTTAGACGCTTCAAGGCGTGGTTTCCCAGGGCGCCACAAGCTCGGGGTGGAGGCTCAGGGAAAAATCTGCACTCTCAGAGATGAGGTGGATATTGGAACTTGCAGCTGTCCTCTCAGGGATGTCCAGGCCTCGGAGACTGGCACTCCTTAATGCTCAGTGTACCTCCCTCTGGTGACCTGGCTTCCACGCGGTGCGTCTTGGGAATTGTAGTTTTCTAGTCTGAGGGTGCGGTCTCCTGTGCAGCTTGGAGGGTGGCGAACTCCACCCTCTCGCCAGGGGCTCCAGTCTTCTCTGGGTTCAGCCCCAGGCTTTCAGGATTGGTGGGGGCGGGCCCATGCACGTGGATGCACGTGGATTGGGCCTGTGTGTCGTGGGCGGGGTCGCGCATGCTCATTTGGGCGGTGGGCCTGGAGCGTATCAAGATGTCGACCACGACGGTTCCGGAGCTGAAGCAGATCAGCCGGGAGGAAGCAATGCGCTTGGGGCCCGGCTGGAGCCACTCGTGCCACGCCATGTTGTATGCCGCTAACCCCGGGCAGCTCTTCGGTCGTATTCCCATGCGATTCTCAGTGCTGGTGAGGAACTGGGTGGGCGAGCGGGTGGACACAGACTTGGGGCGCCCTGTGGACCCGGCGTCCTGATCCGGCTTACTTTGCAGATGCAGATGCGCTTCGACGGGCTGCTGGGCTTCCCTGGGGGGTTTGTGGACCGGCGCTTCTGGTCGCTGGAGGATGGCTTGAACCGGGTGCTGGGCCTGGGCCTGGGCGGCCTGCGCCTTACGGAAGCTGACTACCTGAGCTCACACCTGACTGAGGGTCCACAACGCGTGGTGGCGCATCTGTATGCACGGCAGCTGACACTGGAGCAGCTGCATGCTGTGGAGATCAGCGCTGTGCACTCACGGGACCACGGCCTGGAGGTGGGACCACCGCCTGGGGCCCGCCCCCATCCCCACTCCTGAGGTTTGGCTCTGGCACCACAGAAGGCACCGATGGGTAACAAGTGCCCCTCGGGGTCCCCACCCTGGCCACGCTGGGTAGGAAGAGAGACTTGGGATCTGGGTCCGGGGTTGTTTACATTTGCCTTGCTGCCTGCCATTGTCAATCCTGGGAGTGGGGCATGGGATCACTGGGAAGAAGGGATGGTCAGGGCCCGCTTGGGAAATTGAGGAAAGACCAAAAAGGCTAGGTTGTAGAGTTTGGGGTTGTGGATTCTCTGGCCTCAGGGGTTTGGAGTGAGAGCAGAGATCGTGGGTGCTGGCAGACAGGGTAGGGAGTGCATAGGCTTTACTGCTACTAGCCTTGCCTGGCCAGACCCTGCCTGGGTCTCCCCATCTCTTTGGCAAACTGGTGGTTGACAGGCTTTTCTGCCAGGGTCCGACCTCTCTAAGGAGAGCCCAGCCCCACCCCATGCCCTCTGTCCCACAGGTGCTGGGCCTTGTACGTGTCCCGCTGTACACACAGAAGGATCGAGTAGGAGGCTTTCCTAACTTCCTGAGCAATGCCTTCGTCAGCACTGCCAAGTACCAGCTCCTGTTTGCCCTTAAGGTACTCAACATGATGCCTTCGGAAAAGCTGGCTGAGGCCTTGGCCTCAGCCACAGAGAAACAGAAGAAGGCCCTTGAAAAGCTGCTCCCAGCCTCATCCTGAGGAGGTTCCTGTGGGGGTTCTTGCCCTCCCTTGGCTGTCTCTGCCCACAGGCCCAGGAATTCCCGAGAAGCGTGCCTTCTAGTGTGTTTGGTTTTGCACCCCTTCTGACTGCAAGGGACAAGCAGGCAGCTGTTCATCTTTACTGTCCCAAGCAGTCCCTGGGACCTAGCTACCCTCTCAGGTTGTTCAGTGGGGGTGGCCTGGGCCTGGCTTTTTAAGCTGAGAATGTTCTCAACCATCCTAAGGCTCAGACTGTCCTGGGTGAGTCTGTTCATGACGGGTGGAGGCCCAGCTACAGCCCACTTTTCCAAGGTAACAACCACTTGGTTGGTACATGGCTCCTGGACTGGTCAGAGGTTTCATTCAATGGAGGTGACCCTTGGTAGATCACTCCTTCCCTTAGCCCAGAACCTGATCCAGCTTGCCATAGGCTGTTGTTCATTTGGATTGTTGTTGAATTTCTGTTAGATTTTTCTTTGTTGGTGTGTGAACTGTGGGTTAGTTGCAGAGTGGCTGTGCCCCACATGGCTTGGTTCCCCAGGAGGGCTTTGGCTCAACTCCGTGGAATTGAGGAAGCAGGAAGACAATAAAGCCATTCCTCTGGTACTTGTGTTTGCTTCTGGGTGCCATGGCCACTTCTTTCTTTGAGGTGTGTGGAGCCTCTGAGCACTGAGGACAACCAGTCTGGCTGGTAGCTTGAGTTCAGCCCTTGTCGTGGTGGCCTAGATGGAAGCACCCCGCAGGACAGGATGTCACTGCTGGCCAACTTACAGACTGTCCAGAACCGCTGCTACGCTAGAAAATCCCCACAGCTCAAGAAAAGCTGTCTGCCAGCCCCACTTCAGGCTTAGAACAGTCACCAAGCAGGGGAGAGGTCAGAAGTGATTATAGATCCAGGGTTACATGTCATATGATCAGAAATGAGCCTCCACCAACTTGCAAGTAATTTTATTTTCCAACAAACAACATTTTCTAGGTACCCCAGACCTCACCTTAAGACCAGACACACCTCAGTGTGGCACCTGCATGTGCGGGGACACTCTTTTCACACAGTCCTGTCTAGGCCAGAGCTGCCTACCCACTTCTCCGGGTGCCAGGCCTTTCATTCCGCCTCAGGGCTGGCCCAAGCTGCCCTGGCAGGGACTGAAGTCCTGTCCTCCTGTTCACAAGCTGCTCCCTGGGCTGGCTTTCCATCCCTTGGGCTGCTGCAGCCATCTGCTCACTGCCCTGTCTTGCATGGCACATGTAACTTCAGGGTGGATCCATCACCCAACGTCAGAATCTGAAGAAAAGAAAATTTTAAAAAAGCCTGGTAAGAAGGGACAGGAAGGTTAGGTGGTCCAGGGTGCCCATGGGCATGTGGGTACTCTCACCATCCCTCCTGGCTACGGTTCCCGCCATTTCTTCCCATTCAGCGTCTGTAGCTTCTCCAGGCTCTGTGTTACAGAGCATAGTGCCTGCCCTAAGGATAGGGCCAATTAGTGTTCTGTGTCAAGTCTCAGCAGCAGCAGCAGCAGCAGCAGCAGGGAGAAGGGAAACTCAGGGCACTAGGAATAAGTGGCCCTGGGGTCAGGCTGGGGTCAGACTACCCAGGGGTCTGAGCTGACTGGGTATGGCCAGCTCTCAGCCTCAGTCCTCGGAAGAGGGTCTGGGAAATGGTGAGATTAAAGCCTTGGCTGCCTTCCTGGAGACTTACCCATCTCGTGGACACAGTCTTCCAGGGCCCCTGACAGCTCAGGGAGACTCAAGGCCTGCAGGGGAATAGGCCAGCCTTTGGAATCTGTGGTACAAAAGGGCAAGTTGGCCATAGGTATATCCTCACTCACTGCTGATGCATGAGTGACCACCCCAGGCAGGGATGTACCCAGCTACAAGGTTATAACAACTGCCACTTAAGGCACAGGCCTAAGTAGAGCTCAACCTTGGGGGCCCCAGCCACCCAACTCCACTGGAGGCCTTAAAGACAGTGTAGTCAGCCATGAACAAGCCCTCCCACTTGCCGTCTACCCCTAAGTGCGACAGTGCATCTCTTCTCACAAGTGGGCTTGTTCTGGGGACAGGGTTGCCACTCTACCAGCCATGCACCCTTGACCTAGTCCAAAGCCAGGCTACTGCTCTTCTCACCTGCTGAGAGAAAGGCTGGCCTCAGGGTAGCTTCGCTGGGGGACTGGTCCTGCCTCACTCGAGCTGACAGCTCAGCCTGACAGGCCCTGCCGGACATATGACTAAGTTTAGCGTGGAAGAGGCCTTAGCTGCCAACCTCCACCAGACAGGACAATGAAAACCACCTCAGCCCTGCGGTCAGCCCTGGAAGCCCCACACTGGTCGGTCATGCTGATCCCCAGCCTGCTTTTAGTCAAGCCTGGGTCTGTACTGTTGGGGACAGAGCCCCAGGAAAGTTAGGTGCAGGCACTAAGGTTTCCTTCCCCTTACTTCCCACCTACTTAGAGGATTAGGAAGGGACAAGGACAAGTGTGGGGGCTGACTACCTGAGTGTGTGAGCCCACTTACCGCAGCTGGTCCAGGACAAGGGCAGCATCCTTGGCCAGGGTCTGGGCCTCCTGCAGCTGGGCATGGATGTCCTTTCGGGCACTATCCTGCTCCAGGAGGCAGCTCTCTACTACAGCCCGCAATTCCTGCTCTTGGGACACCTGGCCACGGAGAGCCTCTGCCTCCTCACAGCACTGCAGGCAAAGACCAGGCTAGAGGGCCTAAGCCAGGAGGCCAAGACCCACGCTGGCTGACCCCTCCCCCCACCCCCCCAGAGGGCAGAGTCTGTTAGGATGCCTGTCTGCTTCTCTGCAGCCCATTCTAGGAACTGCTCCTTTGGCTCCATCCTACAGATTCGAGGTTCTGCATGGGCTACTTGCTCTTCCCTCCTACATTCTTGACTTTTGACTGTTCCATCTGCCCCCTCAAGTTTCCTGTCTCTGGTCCCCTGCTGACATTATCTCCTCTGCTATAAAGGTGTAACTCTATAGATGTATCCTGCCTCCTATGTCCACAGCCCACCTGGACCTCTCCACTTACTTTGTGCAGCTGGATGGCAAGCTCCTGCATCTCAGCCTCTAGCCGGTCAGCATAGGCCAGCTCCAGTGCATCACTAGGAGGGCGGGCACTACTGTGCCAGCGGGCAATGGCAGAGGTCATCTTCCTTTTAGGTCCAAACAACCTGAGGGAATGAATCAGAAGGTAAACGTCAGCTTCTGTCATGTGCATGGACCTTGGTACAAACCTGCCACCAAGGCCAGTTGCTAGGAAATACCTAACTCTGAAGGAAGGAGGTTGCAGAAGATCCTGGGGCTGAGGACAGAAACAAGAGTGTCCAAAAAGCCTCCACCATCACTGGCTCCAGGCTTGGACAACTATGTCTGTGTTCTTAAGGGAGATCTCCAGGAATCTCTCCCCTCCAAGACAGATGCACTGGCAGAGTCTGTATGGGCCACCTGGCAGCCTGGAGGTCACTGCAGGCTTTGACTGTGAGTACAGCCAGCTTAGTCTAAGCTCAGCTCTGCATAGCAGCACCCACCCAGACCCAGCATGGCAGACCCTGTTCTCCCAGTAGCAAGCATGGAATACAAGTATAGTGGTTACTGAGGGCCACTGCTCTCAGCCACACTCACTCACTCTCTGGCTGAAAAGATGGGGTAGGGGATGAGTAGTAGGTCTAAGGGGCAGCACCTTTCTCCACTCTCCTGTGTAGGAGTCAGACTACCTGAGAGACAATAACGACTAGGACACTGAAAAGCACCTGCATGCTAGAACATTGTGCACTTGGAAAGTGGGCACAAGAGTTCAGGATCACCCTTGACTACATAAAAGCGGTTTGTCTCAAAGTAACTACAGATGGGTGGAAAGTCAGCGTCATGACATGTGCCTAGGGAAAGGTGCAAGCTCTGAGGGAGGGACCTATAGGTTTCAGCTTCCAGCTAGTCCTCTGCACAGAGGCAGCCAACAACAATAAGTTCAAAACCAAACCAAACCTGCAAATCCCAGGGAAAGGGGAGGTCCTGACTTTGATGCTTACTAAATATCCATTTTCAGTAATAAAAGACAGGTAGAGTATGGTTCATTTAGAGGAAAACCAACCACAGAAGTTCCAAGAAAGCCCTGCAGCAGATCTGCTAGACAAAGGCCTTGAAATACCATTTTAAAGATAATCAAAGACCTAAAAGATGATGTGGAAACACTCAATACAAAATGGAAATACAACAGAGAAAAATGTAAAACATAGGCAAAGAAGTATGGTAACTGAAGTAAAGCCTAAATAGGCAGATGCAGCCCGAGGCAGGCAAAGGAAGGAACCAGCAAACTGGAGCACAATGGAATGAGATTGAAAACCACAAGGACAGCTTGAGACCACATGGGGGCCAGGTCTCTCCTGTGAGTACCTCAGGAAGGCAGGAAGGGCAAATAATGGTCTGAAGAGCTAGCAGCTGGAAACTTCCACAATTGATGAAAGACATGAACATCAGTGAAGCCCAATGAGCTTCACAGATGATGGATACCAGGACACACAGCCAAACTAAAGACATACAGAATACTGGAGCAAAAAAAAAAAAGCAGCCTGTTCCATGCAGGGATCCTCAGTAAAAGTACCTGGACATTCTCATTCAAAACTCTGGAAGGCTGAGGCAGCCAGAGTGCCAAAGCAAACAGCTGTCACCAAGAATCCTTTACCTGGCAAAACTGTCCTTCCAAAGTGCAGGAGAGATTCAGACATTCCCAGATAGGCAAACACTGAGGAAGCCCTGCGTCACCTGCTGCACCAGAGCCACCTCGGGGAGAGTACTTCAGGTGTGAGAGTCACCTATGAGGAGTTACAGCCAAGACACAAACTAGAGTTTTGTACATGGAATGTTTGGGACAAAAGGCATATTGCATGGTTTGGACTGTATATTAAAAGATTTTATATCCAAGCGTTTAGGAAAGAAGAAACCTGTGCTATAAAATACTAACTCTAGAAACTGTGACAGTTAGGAAAAAAACTAAAAAACCACCAAAAAGTGAACTGACAAAAACAGTCCAAAGGTCCAGCACACAGCAGGCAAGGCCATCTTGGAGCTATGTGGGCACAAAGGCCAACTTGGAAGAAAGCCTCTTGTCTAGACAGGCTGGAAGGATGGCTGAGATGATTGGGGGTGGGGGACGGCACTAGGGGACTCACGTGATGCCGATTTCCTTCAGGTCACTTTCAGTGAGGGTCAGGAAGATACGAAGGTCCACATCCTGCTCCTCAAACACTTGCAGGTACTTCAGACACCCAATCTGCTCCAGCAGTGTGGCAAGGTCCTGAGGGGAAGAGACAACTGGGAGGCCTGGGGCCAGGAAGGGAGAACTGGTCGCCTCCCAATTCTGACCCCAGGCCTGACTAGAGCCCCTACACTGCCCTCTTCAGGGTTAGCGCCTCCGCAGAGGAGAATGAGTGACAATACAGCTAAAGGCTTAAGAATTCAGGAGAGGGCTCAAAGACTCCCGGCTATTCTGCCTCCTGGTCTTAAGGTCTGTGTCCAGAGACATCTGATCCCCTCAGAAAGGCTCTACTCAGCCCCTTACCCTGCTGGACTTGGGGCCAGTTTGATTCCATGTCTGCGTGGCCATCCTTGTGCTTATCCTGATTCCACCCAGCCCTCTGCACTACTCCTTCCAAAACACCGTGTGAGGGGGTGCTTGGTGATGGTGCAAGCTTTTCATTTTTCAGACTGAATGGCTACTGACAGCCCAGGCTGCCTGCTGACCCTGCCCTGTCAGCTACTACTGAGCTCAACTGCTTAGCCTCTCAACTGGCTTTCAACACCAGAATGTCCAGTTTCCAGTTCTGCCCATGCTTGGTTGCTTAGGATGGAGAAAAAAAAAAATGTTCCAAGGTTGCTCCACTTTTCTTTCCTCAGAGAAACAGCCTTAAGACCCCAGCACAACTGGTAACATGCCTGTCCAACTGAGAGGTATACCTAAGACCTAAGGAAAGGCCTAAAGGCAGAAGCCCGCCCAGGTTACAAGCTGTTGGGGAACAGCAGAGCTAGGACTTAGGCCTATGTGTATCACACCCTGAGCTGCTGATCTCTGGCTACAGAGAGGATGCTCCACCAGGGTGGTCCACAGTGAGGGTATGGCTGCAGTTTTGCTAAGTACATACCACATGCCGTTACTTTGTCCCCAGCTCATGAGCATCCTCTTACTATCTCCCTAAGTCTGGGGAGGCCCAGAGAGCAGGACAGCAAGGGAACAGACAACCCCTGCTCCTGGAAAGAAAAGGACACCAACCCCACAGCTGGCCTGCCGCCTAGGAATCTGAGCCTTGTGGGGAGAACCCAGTACCCTCTTCTCCTTTCAAAAGTGTCTGGCCTGTCAAGAATACACAATAAATGACCCCACACCCCACCTCCACCCTGCAGTCATAGAAGTGCCACCTCTCTAAGCAAGCAGCCATCGGGTTCTCAAATGGTCTCACCTGAGGTCCTGAGTAGGAGGACTTCTCAGCTTGGGGTTCAGATCCTGGGGTGCATGCAGTCCCTGTGCTGGAAGGCCACTGACCATCACTGCCGCTGTAACGACTCTTACTCTTCAGATAGCTCTTGGTTTGTTTGCGAACCGAGCTTCTGCGGGTGTGATCAGAATCCTGCAGTGAAAGGGTGTGTTGGGGCAGCCCTTGCCTGGCTGTAAAGCTCTAGCCCCCTTAACGCAGGCAGGCAGGGGTAGGATGTGAAATCTATGCTGACATACCTGCAGCCTGGACCCCCACACTCTAGTTAGGAGTCCTCTAGGCATGGTGTAGCCACATTAAATACTCACCATCTCCTACAACACCAAGGGAGGAAGGGCGAGGGACCTTTACCTCATTGCTTTCTATGGAGGCTTCACTGCTGAGCCCCTGGGCTCTTGCCAGGCCGTCGCTGCTGCTGCTCCTCCACACGGGTCCGAGACTGGCACAGAAAGTGGGTTCCTCTGGGAACAGAAAACACCTGATGACAGGTCTCACCAGTGAAGCTGCTTGTGTTCTATTAGCACAGCTCAGCACTGCTGGTCTGGCCTGGCCGCCTGTCACAGCCCACACTGTAGGGTGGGCAGAGCTTGTATTTTTTAATTGTGTGTTCTTAAATCGCACGCACGCACGCACGCACGTACAACAGAGCTTGTCAGGAAGCAGGAGCTTGGTGAAGCACTGCCAGGTCATAGCACACGCCCCCTGCTGGGAAGATTTCCAGGAAGCCCTTGGACAGACCCTGTGAGTACAGAATGCTTCCTTGGCCTGTGGGAACCCTGCATTGGGATGCTTGCCCTCACCTGCCCATGGCCAACTCTGGCTTACCTCACAAGAACTGGGGCCTTCTCTATCTCCTCTATGGGAACCCAATAGGATGGGGGTGCATACCCCGGCTGCTGCTGCTGCTGCTCTCCACATCCCGCTCATTAATGGGGGAGGTGACATCTCGGTAGCAGAGGCCCTCAACTTCCAGGATGTTCTCCTCACTGCTGGTAAAGGTCACATATCCCCGTGGAGGAACTTGCTCTGTGTACAGAATGGGCATGTGACTCCTCAGACATGAGTGAAGGCATCACCCCTCTAAGGGCTCTTGGGGTGAGGGAGCCCCATAGCTACTACTTCTCCTTGTACGGTAACTTGGTCATGCTCCAAGAGAAATTATTTTGCACATCACAGAAAATGAGCTTGGTGTAGCCAAGGCTAGCACCCAGGGTAAGGCCAGTCCCCATTAGCACCTGCCACTGCTTTTCTAAGGGCAGAAGCAGACAGTTGTTGTGGAATATTCCTCTACACTGTGTGAAGATATTTCACTGTGATTGGTTTGATAAAAAGCTAAACAGCCAATAGCTAAGCAGGATTTTCGAGACAGAAGGCTGGGAAGAAGGGTTGAATCGTGAGGAGTTGCCAGCCAGACACAGAGGAAGCAGGAAAGCAACATGGGCAGAATAAAGGTAATAAGGTCACGAGGCAGAGTAATTAATAGAAATAGGTTAATTTATAAGAGCTAGTTAGGAACAAGCCTAAGCTATCAGCCATGTAGTGGTATTTGCTCTGCCTATGACCTTGGGCTATACAGCCCGAAGGAGGCGGTGCTTCCTGCCATTGTACATGACCTCTTAAAAGGAAAGGGAGAGGGGTCATGAGGCTCCTTCTGCTTCCTGCTTCCTGGTGTGATCAAACTGCCAGGAGGGTTCGCTCCCAGTCAGATCAGAGGACTACTTCAGCTGTCTACTCAGTTCTGTATTCATGAGTGTATTTCCTCAATTTATCCTAATAAATTTCCCTAATACTCCTTAAGCAGAGTCTTGTGTATTTCTTGCATTAAGAAGTCTCTTGTGTGGTTATTTGGGAGCCGGCAGGTGGGGCAGAAAAATCTTCCTACAGACAGTAGAAGGCTGGATCTACAGACTTCTCAACTGAAAGGTTATCTGGGCACTTTTAGTAAAAACCCCCAAACTTACATGCATATCCCCTTATGTCTTGTAACTCGGGATTTCTTTCTTTGTTTCTCTCTCTCTCTCTTTTTTTTTTTTTTTTTTTTTTTTGATGGCACTGGGGATGGAACCTGAGGCCTTATGTGCTAGACAAGTACTGTTCCAGAGCTCCAACCCCAGCCAAAGAAAGACCTGCCTGAACAGGGAGGAAGAGACTCTGACCTAGAAAGGGACAGTACAGAGTCATAGAATCCCTGAATGTAGCTGCCATAGAAAGCACAGAGATGGGATGTGGCCCCATGGTGCAGGGCATCCCTAGCATTCACAGGACCTTGGGCTTCCATTCTGCAAACAACAAACTCCAAATCCACCATGCGTGACAGACAGCACACACCTGTAATCCAACACTCAGGGGGCAGAGACAGGAGGATGGCAAGTCCAAAACCAACCCAGTCTATGGGGTGAAATCCAGAAGAGAAAGGAAAGGAAGTAGAAGCAAAGAAATGTGACCCACATGTGCAGTCCCAGCTACTTTAGATCAGAATGTGGGCAGAGCCAGGACAGTGGAACTAAAATCCTTATACATTACAGTTGCTATGCCACCTATGTAGATGGACATCCACCTAAAAGGGAATCCACAGAATGAAACCAAGTGTCAGGAGTTAGCAGTGACTCCTGGAGCCTGTCCCTGGGTTAGTTCTGAGCCTCACGCCTGTAGTACCTAATCCTATTGTAGCCTGAGGCCAGGGGCCCATGTTCAGGACAGTCCTGGGATATGATACCAAAGAGCTTTGGGAACTGTGGCTCTCACCATAGTTGGTCTGAATCTTGCCTCCAAGTCCAATAGCTGTGATCCTGGCCAGGGCACGTGGGCCCTCGTGGATGCTGAGGCCCTTCTTTCGACAGGGCCTCTGGCGCTGAGGAACAGGCCAGGACTCATCTGACGAGCTCAGATCTTCATATTTTTCTGTAAGTCAGACATGAAAATTAAGAGTTCAATGATGAGCTCTTTTGCCAACACTAAACTCTAATGGAATGTGTCTGTGTGTGCTTTTGAGACAGTGACTCACTATGTAGGCTCAGGCTGGCCTTGAACTTGCTGTAATACACACACACACACAAAAAGATAAGATCTTAAGAGAATATTAAACTGAGTATGGTAGCATTACACATTACTCAGTATTAGGGACATAGAGCAGGAAGACTGCAACAAGATCAAGGTCAGCCTGAGCCTACATAGAAGGGTTTCTCTGTGTGGCCCTGGCTGTCTTGGAACTCCCTCTATAGACCAGGCTGGCCTTGAACTCACAGAGATCCGACTGCCTCAGACTCCCGAGTGCTGGCATTAAAGGCGTGCGCCACACACCTGGCTCTATCTATTGCCCCTGCAGGGCACTTACACAGCTCTTGCAGAGGACCCAAGTTCAATTCCCAGGCCCCACATTAGCAGCTCACAAATACCTGTAATTCTAGCTCCAGGGGAACTAAGGCCCTCTTTTGGCCTCCTTGTGCACCTGTCTCAAAAACAACAGCCCTACCCCACCCCCAAAAAATAGATACTTAAGTGCTGCTGAGCCATCTCTCCAGCCAAACCAGCTTAACAGTATTAAATTCAGAAAAGAGTGTGTTGGGCTGGGCATGGTAGTACACAAGTACCCTTAATCTAAGCACCAGGGAGACAGATCCTGTCTCAAAAAGAAAACAAAGTTCACCAGGACTGTACCTGGAGCCATCACAACCATCAGGCCACCGCTCTACAATGGCGAGCTGAAACCTTCTTTAGTTCTTACTCTTTACCTAGCTTCAAGAAATGCTTCTTGTAAGCCTGTTTATAATCAAAAATTTTTATGTTGAAGGGATAAATAAACTGGTGGCTTCATAAAAATATTATTAATCACAACCTGTTAAATAAACAAGTTCATATTTCCAATCTGAATGACTTCTAAGGAAGTAAATGACATCTGTTTGCTGTTTATAAAGCCTTTCAAAACTCTGCCACCCAGCTTTGCCAGCTCAGCATGCCCACAGCCTTCACTACATTAGAGCTCTCAAAATGGGTCAAATAGTGATGTGTGTACGCATGCGCACACATTTTTGTGGACACGTGTATGCAGGCATAAGGATACCCAGAGAGGCCAGTAGGAGGCACTGGGTCTCCTGGAGTTCCAGAGGTTTCTGAGCCACCAGATGTGCATGCACTTTGGGAGCCAAGTTCCAGTCCTCTATAGTTGAGCCATTCTCAAGGCTCCCAGAAACTACAGGAAATGCAAGGAAAACAGAAACACAATCAACAGATGAGAGAACACAGTTCCTTTTCCCACACATGGAATCTTTAAAATCACTGACTAGTAGGTGACAAAGAAGGCATCTGTAGGTTCCATAAAGTGCCAAGAGTAATCACTCTCTAGGCAGATAAGTTAGAATACAACTGAACAGGGTAAAATGAGATAGTAACCAACTGAAAAAGGACTTTCAATCTAAAAATTTAAAAACTACCAAAAATATAACAAAATCTTTATTAAACAACTTTTAAGTGAAAGGGAAAATACAAGTAAAAACTACAGATTTCCTGGAGAACAACAACTATATTCTAAACTCCTGCCATATGGCCAGTAGAAGATTAAAGGTAAACAGTAACAATGAAATAAGCTGGCTAGGGAGATGGCTAGTGGGTAAAGTGGTTGCTAGTCAAGAATGAAGACCTGGGTTCAAATCCTGTCTCAAAGAATATCAGATTTTTTTTTTTTTTTGGTGGCACTCCTGAGGCTGTATCAAAAGGAAGCTGAATACCTCCTTCCCAGCCACTAGTGGTCAGAAACTCACAGAAGTGGACCATGAAAGCAAGCTTTGTACTTTCTATGAGATGCGCATGACCACGGAAGTAGCTGCTGATGCTCTGGGTGAAGAGCGAAAGGGTTATATGGTCTGAATCAGTTCTGGGAATGACAGACAAGGTTTCCCCATGAAGCAAGGTGCTTTGACCCATAGCATAGTGTGCCTGTTGCTGAATGAGGGGCGTTCCTGTTACAAACCAAGGAGAACTGGAGAAAGGAAGCTTGAGTTTATTAGGGGATGTACTGTGGAAGCCAATCTGAGCATTCAACTTGGTTATTGTTAAAAAAGACAGAGAGAGAGAGAGAGAGAGAGAGAGAGAGAGAGAGAGAGAGAGAGAAGGATATTAATGGCCTGACAGATGGCACTATGCTTTGTGAGATGGGACCCAAAGAGCTAGCAGAATCCGAAAACTTTTCAGTCCCTCTAACGATGATGTCTGCCAGTATTTTGTCAGAAAGCCCTTAAACAAAGAAGGTAGGAAGCCCAGGACCAGAGCACCTAAAATTCAGTGTCTTGTTCCTCCATATGTCTCGCAGCATCAATGCAGATGTACTGCTCTGAAGGAACAATACCCTATGAAAAATGAGGAGGCTTCACAATATGCTAAACTTTTGGTCAAGAGAATGAAAGAAGCCAAAGAAAAATGCCAGGAACAGACTGACAGATACAGACTGTCCTGAGAGCTTCTACTTCTAACCATGAGTCCAGTCAATAATAAATTAGATCCTGAAAAATAACTAAAGAAAAAGGAATATCTGAATCAATACACAGACCTTCCCACAGCCAAGGGTCCTACAGAAGGATGTGCTTTATCTTCAGTGTTCGGCACAGCTCTAGAGGCACTGGCAACTGAATGAAACCAGGCATAGAAGCATGGCAGACAGAGGTGGGCTAGTCTGCAAACTGGCAGCATGGTAGCACACCTGGAGACTCCTGGAGAAGTGGAAATGAAACTATCTTGACCAGACAAGATCAGCTGTGGAAGTCAACTGCCTTCTACATGGAAATACCAAAAAAATAGAGCACTACCATTAACCAGAAGGAAAATCATAGTAGTGAACCCATTCACAAGAACAGTCAAGAGGGCCGGGCGGTGGTGGCGCACGCCTTTAATCCCAGCACTTGGGAGGCAGAGCCAGGCGGATCTCTGTGAATTCCAGGCCTGCCTGGTCTACAGAGCGAGTCCAAGACAGGCACCAAAACTACACAGAGAAACTCTGTCTTGAAAAAACAAAACAAAACAACAAACAAACAAAAAAAGAACAGTCAAGATGATAAATATTTCAGAATAAACTTAGTTACAGACAAAATATATATTAGGAAAAATTTAAGCCCTCCCAAAAAACTGCAAAGTACACTAAAAACAAAACACAGCCTGTTTTCTTAGATGGGACAAATTGACACCATAAAAATAGGGAATTCAGATTTCCTATAGTCTCTCTGACATCCGCTAGTTGATTTTTTGAGACCAGGTCTGTGTTCCCCACCTGGTTTTGAACTTGCATTCCCCTACCTTTGCCTCTCATCCAAAATCCTGGGATTGCAGAGCAGCGGTGGCACACACCTTTAATCCCAGCACTCAGGAGGCAGAGGCAGGTGGATCTCTGTGAGTTTGAGGCCAGCCTGGTCTACAGAGTGAGATCCAGGACAGCCAAGGCTACACAGTGAGACCCTATCTCGAAAAACAAAACAAAACAAAACAAAAAGGCCTCAGGTCAAACTGTGGTTTGGGTGAATGGATACAGAGACCACCAGATTCTAACTCTAGGGAGATTCTAACCCTAATAAGAGGGAAATTCAATGTGTGATAAAGATGCTGTATCTAACCCCCACGTCAATCATGCTGAATGATGCTGGCAAAATTGTGTGACTGTTTGGAAAAGAGAATTGGTTCCAGACTTCACACCACAAAAGAGAAACAACTATCAGTGGGTCAGACATCTAAATGTAAAAAATTAAAACATACAAATGCTAGGAGGGATATGACCATCATGACCATGGGGGCCCTGAGAAAAACTGTTTATGATTCAACATCCAGAGACCATAAAGGATGCCTGATTATATAAAGGTAAAGCATACACAACACAAGTTGTCAAAACCAAGAACTAAAAGCCAGAGGAGCCTCTCTGTGGGGCATGCCTCCTCCCCTTATCCTTAGGCTACACAGCCTGTGCTGTGCGTGATCTCTGTTGGCAGGGACCGCTGTCAATGGTATAAATCTGCTTCTCTTTGGCCCTAGGCCTTGGACCTCAATAACCTCAGCTCCACAGTGGAACTGGTGAGAAGAGAAAGCCTCGGGGTGGGGCTGTTAGAGCACAACCTAAGCAAAGCAGGGGATCCAGAGAGGGGCTCTCCTTGTCTCCTAGTATCCCGAATGCTCAGGGCAGCCCTGACTCCATCAGGACACAGAGGCAAATCAGGTACCTGGGCTCCGGTAAAGGCTCTTAGGCAGTGCAGGCGAGTGAGTGTCCATCAAGGCCACTATCTTCATGTGACCATACTGCCTGGCCAGCATCCGGGCCGTGGCTCCACTGTGGTCTCTTATGTCTACTTTGACTCCCTAAGAAGGTTCAGGAAAGAAGAGTCAGAAACTCCTCACCAAATCCCCCAGCTCAGTGGACTGCCGGCCAGGAGGAATGAGAAAACAGAGTAGGTTTATGATCACTTCCTCTGGTTTGAGATACCACTGGAGTGGGGGTAGGAGTGAGGGGGGCTGGTGACTTTGTCTCCTTCACAACAAGGAAGAGGACCAGAAAGCCCGTCATGAACATCTGCAGGCATCCCCCTCTCCTCAGTATTGCTGCCAGATGCCAAAGGTTCTGGCAAGGAGAAAGAAGCTGGGACCTGCAGGCAGAGGCCCACCTTCACCCTCCACACCCCCATGTCTGTCTCCTGATAGAGAACCTGTCATTCAGCCCATCCTCCCAAACTGAACTGGACGTCTCTTATCCCCTGATTTTATGAGACTGGATGTCTTTTGTGAGACTAGGATGGCCTTGACTTCCTGATCTTGCCACCTCCCAACTGTTGGTATTACAGGTGTGTACCACACCTGTTTTGTTGAAGCAGGGTCTCACTGTATATCTAGGCTGGTCTTGAACTCACAATCTTCCTGCCTCAATCTTCCAAGTGCTAGGATAACCTGGCTGAGATTACAGCTTAGGTTAATTGAAGACCCACATTGAATATGGGTAGCAATATAGTATGAGTTGGAGCGAGCTGACAAATGTATTTATTTCTCACTAGGCTTTTTTGTTATTTGTTTGTTTGTTTGAGGCAGTGTTTCTCTGTGTAGCCCTGGCTGTCCTGGATCTCACTTTGTAGACCAGGCTGGCCTTGAATTTATTTATTTATTTATCTATTTATTTATTTGAGGCAGTATTTCTCTGTGTAGCCCTGGCTGTCCTGGATCTCACTTTGTAGACCAGGCTGGCCTTGAACTCACTGAGATCTGCCTGTCTCTGCCTTCCACATCCTGGGATTAAAGGTGTCTATCACCACAGCACAATCTGACAAACTACCTCCAGTTCCTGCCACCACATCCTCCCCTCCATGATGGACTTCCCTTTGAACTGTCTGCCCAAACAAGCCGTTCCTTCCTTTAACTGTTTTCTATGGTTTCTGCCACAGCAGTGACAGCAGTAACTAATCCACAGCCTGAAACGCTCACTGTGAAAACAGGAGTGAAAGGACAGACTTGTCCGTCTTTCTAGTAAGTTGTTGTTTGTTTGGTTTGTTTTTTTTTTTTTTGAGGCAGTGTTTCTCTGTGGGTCAGCTCTGGTGGTCCTGGAACTTTTTTGTAGACCAGGCTGGCCTTGAACTCAGAGATCCACCTGTCTCTGTCTCATGAGTGCTGGGATTAAAGGCCTGTGCCACCACCACCCAGCAAATAGTTTTTTAGCCTTACTCTGAAACTGGAGAAGCCCAATAAATTTTCTTCTTTAAAAGCCTTAGCCATACAGTCTAATACCATGGGGGTAGATTGGCCACCAAGGCTCTGAAGGATAATCAGAAGGAATTTAGAACATGAAAGGTGGCTTCAATATTCCCCCAAGAATTCAAGCTGAGAGATAATTAAGAACGTATACCATAACTAAGCAACACTCTGTGACCCAGAGGAACTGGTGGTAGGGGTCAGTGAACTAGGTGGGAGCAGGGAGGAGTGGGTGCAGTGCAGGGACAGGACACCCAAAACCCATGGAGAGAAGAAAGGCGCATCATGGGATAGTGGCTAATGTCTACAATCCTAGCACTTGGGCAGTGGAGGCAGGACTATCAGGAGGTCAAGGCCAGCTTTTCAACTAGATAGGTAGCCCTGAGGCCTGCCTAGGCTACATCAAATGCTAACTCCACAAACCAAACAACAACAAAAGTAATTACAAAGCACGCATGCTGTTTCCCCTTTGGGGCTCTTAGGAAGACTCTTGCTGTGGACACTGGGTAAAAGTTCTATGTAGACACAGGTCTCCGTTCTCTTGGGTACATACCTGGGAAAACTGAGGAATGTTATGGTGATTCTAGATTTATCTCCTGGAGGAATTACCAGACTATCTCCTGAGAAACTATGCCACTTCAAAGTCCTCTGAGGTTCGTAGTGGTCACTGTCACTAACACCTGATCCCTCCCTTTGTGCTATCCCAGTCATGCAGCTTAGCTGGCACAGGCCTATAATCCAGCTACTCAGAAGGCTTAAGCAGGAAAATCAGAAATTCATAGTCCTCTTGGGCTAAAGTGTGAGTTCAAAGCCAGTTTGGACAACTTGGTAAGATCCTGTCTCAAAAGAAAACATTTAAAAAGGGCTGAGGCCCTAACTCAGTGACAGACAACTTGCAGAGCATGTGCAAGTCAGGTCTTACTCTCCTGCACCAGGATTGAAAAGTTTCCCATAACTGCTAAAACGTGTCTTCAGCCGGACAGCGGTGGTACACGCCTTTCATCCCAACACTCCAGAAGCAGAGGCAGACAGATCTCTGTGAGTTCAAGGCCAGCCTGGTTTAAAAGTGAGTTCCAGGACAACCAAAGCTACACAGAGAAACCCTGTCTCAAAAAACTAAAAAACAAGACAAAACAAACAAGAAAACAAAGACGTGTCTTCAAAATCATTATAAATACAGAAATGTGTTTATTTTTACTCATCACTGTACATTTTTCAGTGAAAATGTACCGCCTAAAGGGCAGCGAGACGGCTTGGTGGGTGAAGGCATCTCCACCACGCCTGAGACCTGAGTTCAGTGCCCAGAGTCTACTTTATAGAAGGAGAAAACAGACTCCCACAAATGTCCTCTATTCCATAGGTACATATGTGTGTACACACATATGTGCTGACTACGTAGGTTTCCATGTAAAAGAAACCCCAGTTAGAGTTTATAGTTTCATCAATGATTACCATTTGCTGTGACTAAATTACAAGATAATAAATAGTTATTTACATGATTCAGAAAATACTGCACAATTATCTCATGGCCAGAGGCAGCTGCTTCCATCAAAGGAGTGAATCCATATACAGGCTCCCTGCAAGATGAGATCAGACAGATAGTTAGTGGAGAGAAGTGAGACAATGAACAAACTCTCCTACCAAATACAACCAAGCAAAGACCCGGACAGGCAGAGCAGCAGGTGCAGGCTCAGGCCTAGGCTCTCATGCACTTAGAACCGCTGGGGTGTTGGGATTAGGGAGGCAGTTCAGTTGGTAAAGTGCTTGCCACATAAGCATCAGGACCTGAGCTTGATCCCCAGCACCAGGTAAGAAGGTCGGTGTGGTTGGTTGTGCTTGTAATCATAGGGCTGAGAGGAAAAACAAGCAGATCCAGGCCAGGCAACTAGTTCAAACTGTGAGCCCTAAGTCCTAGTAAGAGACCCTGACTCGTTTAGAAAAGGTAGATGATCCACAAGAAATACCACCATTTCTAGCTTCTGCACACACACCTACCCCCAACACTCGCCTCAGCTGCACACAGAGAAACTAATGAGGTGAGATGGGAACAGACAAGAAGACTACATGAGCTTTACTAACTCCCTCTGGCTCATTAACAGTCCCAAGGACCAAGCTCTCCCATCTTCCTTCCCTCAAGGCCATTCCTACCTCATTCTAAATCCACACTTTAATCCCACTCAAAAAGCAGCTGTTGCCAAGCCTGGTGGAACTTGTCCTTAATCCCAGCACACAGAAGGTAAAGGCAGGTGGATCTCAGTGAGGCCAGCCTGGTCTACATAGTGAGTTCCAGGACAGCCAAGGCTACCTGAAGAGACCCTCTCTCAAAAAGCTAAGTAAGCAAACAAACATTAAATCAGCTATTGTTCACTTCTCACAGATGCTAACGTCTCCTCCCACCTACCCAAGTTTCATCTTTTGAGTTCATCAGTCCATGAATTATTATTTCTGATAAGCCCATACACTAACAATCCTGTCTTTGTTTTCTGTCACTCTAACACTGTTCTCAAAGAGCTCCTTTACTGTTCCTCATTCCCTGCTGGACTAGAAGCCAGGAGTCACACTAAACCTGGCTCTCAACCACTGTAAGACACATAATCTTCACATCTTAATATCGCTCAAGTCAGAATATATCTTAAAGTCATTTTAAGATATTGAATTTTAATCAGTAGCTTTTTTCTTCTTCCTTAGAGTCGCTCAGAATTAATTATATCTTCCAATGGGCACCAAGAGCCAGCCAGAGTTGCCATGCCAACATCAGGTGGGGGCTCAGTTGGGACTTGCTGGGAAGGGGTTCTTACGTAATATGTGTCAGACCACAGTAAAACCATCTTATGAGAAGAATGACGGAAACTGGCGAGACGTTCAGTGGGCAGAAGCACTTGCTCTATCAGCCTGACAACTGTAAAAGGAGGATAAAGTCCTGCAAGTGTCTGCAATCCCAGCACACCAACAGGAAGTGTGGGACACAGAAGGTCACAGGCCAGCTAGCCTGGGGTACTTAGCTTGTCTCCAACAAGGTGGAAAGGCAAGGACCAAGACTTGAAAGTTGTCTGACTAGTTCTAAACACGTGCCATGGCACACATGTATCTGCGCCCTGAACCATGAACAGGTGCTCACTCTCTCTCATACATGATAAAGAAAGAAAAAAGAAAGGCAAGGAGATGGGTTGGTTGGTCATGGTGGGACTGGGTATGACTCAGTGACATGATGCCTGCTTAGCAAATATGAGGTCCAGAGTTTTGTTTCCATTCACACACACACACACACTCACACACACACACACACACACACACACACACACACACACTCCTTATGATTGTTTTTAAAGCCTCATCTCCATGATGATAATAAAAAAGACAAGAAAGAAAAAGAAATTAGCATCTAATGTACATCATCCAAATACCATTTTTCAATGCTCTGACATGAGCCTTGCTAACTTCAGTTTTGAGATAAAACAAGGCTCGGGGCCCAGGGATGCACTGATGACTGACAGATCTGCACCAAGTCCCATGGACTATCCATTCCACTCCCTCATCTTACCTCTTAGACCGGGGCAGGATGACCCGGCCTCCTGCCTATGGTTAGACAGAACCCAGCCCACTCCTGAGACAACTTAGCTGCGACAAGCACCTCACGTTGGCATTGGCTCCACTGTCCAGGAGGAACTTGACCATCTGCTGGTGGCCGGCACTGGTGCAGTGGAAGAGTGCAGTCCAGCCCTGGATGTCTTTCATTTCAAGCTCTGCACCTTGCTTCAAGAGAATAGTATGTGGATTATGCCCCATGTCTCCAGGAAAGGTGAGCAGGTGGGTGGGTAGGAGGCGCCCACCAGGCCTTCAGCTGAAAGAATCTTAAGTGATTACATGTGCACACTGTGGCCCGCAGCGCTTCATGTCCTTCCTGTCAGGGCAGCCAGGGAGCCCCTGGGTTTCTGGGCCTATGCCCACTTGTAGCTCACCTGGAGCAGAAAGTAGGCGATGCTCTCGTTGCCACAGCTGGAGGCCAGCATCAGTGGAGTCTGCCCTTCCGGGGTCGGCACATTCACACTCACCCCTGCCTCGAGCAGCAGGTGGACAATGGTATCGTGTCCAATGTAGGAGGCATACATCAGCGGGGTCCAACCACCACCATTCTTCTTATTCAAATCTAACTCTCTCCTAAACAAATGCAAGATATGCTAGATATTCCCAGCATCCCACATGTGGGCTTCATCAGAGCCAGGTGCCAGGCCTGGTGGGACAAGCTGACCTTCCAGAAAGCAGTAATCACCTGCCCCGGGGCATTCCCAGGGAGGGAGAAGGCAGGCGGGCGTTTCCATCCTCTGCCTTAAACTCTTGCAATGGTTAATCTTGACTTGTCAACTTGACAGGACCTGAAATTGACTAAGAGATAAACCTCTGGGCAGGTCTGAGGAATTTTCTAGATTGGGTGGTTAATTGACGTGGGAAGAGCCACCCTAAATATAAGAAGCATCATTCCATGGGCTGTGCTTACAGACTAAATAAAAAAGAGAAAGCAGAGCACTAACATTCATCTCTCCCTGATGCAATGGGACCAGCGGCCCTACTCTTCTGTCACCATGCCTCCCCGCCATGATGGACTGTACCCTCAAACCAAGTTAAAATAAACTCTACCTCCCTAAGCTGCTTTTGTCAGTATTTGTCCTAGGAACAAGAAAGGGGACTATGTGGTATGGGGATACACACTTTTACTCGCAGCACTTGGTGGGTAAAGGCAGGTAGATCTCTGGGAGTTCAAGGCAAGCCTGGTCTACAAAGTTAGTCCCAGGCCAGACAGGGCTATATAGTGAGACTCCCATCTAAAAAAACAAAACAAACAGAAACAAAAAGAAAAGTGACTAATATAACCATCTCTATTTTAATACTTTCATCTTTCCTACCATCTTCTGGCAAGGCCAACAACTCTCCATTTTTGTACCTACACCAATATCAACCAATATCAAGTTAGGAGTTAAGTTAGGCAAGGTCTGGTCATTCCTTACAGTTACCATATCTGGGGAGTAGCTAGCTGTTGGCATACAGGTTAGGACTAGGTAGCTGGTCAAACACCCTACAGCACAAAGGACCCACCACAGACAAGACTAGCTGCCTAGATTATCAGTATAAGCGAGGCTGAGATACCCTAAACACCAGGCACCAAATCAATAACCAATATCCCAGGAGAAGAGAAAAGAATTGAGGATAACAAACACCACTGTCAGACTTCTCCTTTGCCACCTCACCCTACAGAAAAATCTGTCACCAGAGTATCCTATTTTCCTTACTGCTTTCCACTGTAAGTAATTATGGAAACGCACTTTCACTCAGGGAGGCAGAGGGGAGGGGCTCTCAGACTTGGGGATGGGAGTCCCATTCTAGAATAACACCCACCACCTACTCCATAGAAGGTACAGTTAGTGCCGCCCCCTGCCTTGCCCTTCATAGTTTCACCTCCAGTGGTAGCTGACAACAAGTGATAATCTGTTGTATGATCAGTACCTCTTGTGGGATCCATACTAAGTCAGGCAGCTACTTCCCACACACTAGCAACTCCTGCTGCCTCTGGTATATGCCATCTGGCCATTCTAGAATGGCCTGAAGCCCTCCCTGCCTGGAGAGTTACACGTGGATACTTCTGAAATCACTAGAATGACTTGGCATCCAGCACTGTCTCCACAAAGGGAGTAGTGGCAAGTGCCTCAGCAAAGCTAACACTTACCCTTCAGCCTGTTCTCTGAGACCTCCAATTTCCCTCAGCCCCAGCCTGGACTTCCATGAGCAAGCCTGCTTCTCAACTGGCCCCAAACTCCAATGACGGCACAGAGCTCTTCCTAGTCTCTTCTTTGGGCTGCTATGTTTTTTCTAACAGGACACTCAATATGTAAGAACCTGAGACTCCAAAGAATAATAGCAGGATTCTTGGTGATCCTATGAGGACATGTACTGACTACATACCTAGCTACCCATTTCTGAGGCCATTAAGTAAAGGAGTCCTAGACTGAGAGCTCTCATACTCTACTGGCCAAGGATGATGGATGACTCTGACTTGAAACCAGACACCTAGGGCTTTATGAGGATTTGCTCTGTTCATCAGGAATTGAGAAGGCACAGAGAGGTCTGGGAGACATCATCTCACCAAGGTACCAAAGGAGCACTAAAGGCAAACTAAGTATAAAGTGTGGTGGAGCACAAAGAAGTGAAGAGTCCTTCTACAGAACCTTCAGACCACATAGACTAAGACACAGGCTCTGAGACTAAACACTCTGATGCAGGTGGGTAAAGCTGGCAGGTAGGCAGTGAGGACAGAAGGCCGGCCTCTCTCCTCTGTGCCAGAGGGGACAAGAGCTGGGGGAACCACAACAAACCTGTAGTCAAAGGGTCAGAGTGCTGGCTTTCCATCCCTATTTTTGCTTCCTCTGGTTGAAGTAAACTATAAATTAGTGTTTATAACATAGACCACAAGGTTAGGTTTTAAGCATGTTTTTCCTCCTCAGAATCAAGTCCTTTTTTCTAAGAGTCCAACATGAGCCATCAACGACATCTGTGACAATCAGATGAGCCTAATCCATATGTATTAAGGGGCTTGATCTCTGCAAGACTCCAGCCTATAGGAACTGAGATGCTAATTAAAATGTGAGGTGAAGGGATGCTCCCCAAGACCTCTTACCGCTGCACACATTCCTTCACCACCTCATACTGGCCAATGGAGGCAGCTGTGTGAAGATCCAAGGGGACATCCAGCTCCTCTCGGCTGACCTGTGCACCAAGCCCATACCACATGGACAAGCTGCAGTTCAGGAGCTCCGGCTCGCTGGCTTCATCGCTGAGCTCAGACATGGCTGCAGAGGGAGGCCCAGGGGTTAGTTCTTCCTTCCTGGATGTTCCAAGGATGAAATACTCCTACTAATGGCAGACTATCATCTCATTCCTAAGAAAATAAAGCCACCAAGACTGACTTAGCTTTCTTCAAACAGCAGTGCTACCACAGGGCCACCGGTGAGCTTGCCACCAGACAGAAGATGGGAGCATCTGTTCCACACCACAGGCTCTACAATCAGGTTTTCCAGGAGCCTGATAACCTCTCCACTGATAGTAAAACAGTGCAAGTTGAGTTATTTAGCACTACTGGCTGAATTTGGGTGTGCAGCAAAATTTAGCTCTGTGTCTAGCATCTCCAGCCCCCAGTTCCTCACTAATGGACATAGATGCTGAAAAGGGGCTGCTGCTACACATACATGGAAGCTAGGTGTAGTGGCATACCCCTGTAATCTCAGCACTGGGAAGGAGGAAGAGAGGCAGGAGGATTATGAATCTAAGGGCAGCCTGGAGTACATAAGTTTAAGGCCAGCTTGGCTACAGAGATCCTCTCTCAATGAAACTAAGAGTGGGACCCAGAAAAATGGCCCAGGTGTTAAGAACATGTATTGCTCTTACGGGACCCAAGTTCAGTTCCCTGACCCTATGTCCAGTGGCTCCTGTAACTCCAGTGTCAGAGGATCCAACAGCCCCTTCTGGCTTCATTGAGGATCTGCATTCATGTGTGCACACACCACCCCTCAGATACATGCATACATATAATTTTAAGTCTTTTAAAATAAACCAGGGCTGGATATGGCTTAGCAGTTAAGAGCGTACATTGCTCTTACAGAGAACCTGAGTTCAATTCCCAGCATCCACATGAGGCAGCTTACAACTGCCTGTAATTCTAGCTCCAGGGGATCCAACACTCATATGCACGTGCCCGACACACACACACACACACACACACACACACACACACACACACAAAACAAAACAAAACAAAAAAAACCCATACACATACACACATAATTTAAAACAAAAATAAAATTTTAAAGTTAAAAAAAATGTAAGGACTAGAGATGCAGTGGTTAAACTTCATATCCACAAACAAACCACATGGAAGGCTATGCATGAAGATGTCCAACTTAATTATGACACTTGGGAGATAGAGACAGGATTGTGAGTTTAAGACCAACCTGGGATACATAGCAAGAACTTCTAAAAGAAGAAAAAAGAAAGCAGAAAGAGGAAGAGGAGGAGGGGAAGAAAAAGTAGGACAGGAAGGGGAGGAGGAAGAAAGCCCCAGTACAGACTATAGAATGTGATCCCTGATGCTCAGCAAATGTTACCTGACTGGAATCTACCTATGCAACCCTTTAAGTAGGAAAGATGGACCACAGGGGTAACAAGTGTGTGAGTCCTTTATCCTGGGGAATCCTACTCAAACCAAAGCCAAGCCATTGCCTTCCTAGTAGATTCCTAAGTCTAGGGGCCACAGAGCTAGCACAGAAAAGGGAGAGAAGAGTTCTGGGATATAGCTCAGTTGTTAGAGCACTTGCCCCACTGCATAAGGCCTTTAGTCCTGAATCTACTCCCCAGCATGGCAACAAAGGGCTGGGGGGGTAATGGGAGAAGATATAATGGCAGTTTACAGTGAATAGGACCTCCGTTTCCTGTTCTACTCTCCCCTGTGTAAATGGCCACTGTTTTGTTTTGAGACAAGTTCCCACTGTGTAGCACAGACTGGCTTGGAACTCAATTTGTAGACCAGGCTGGACTCAAACTCACAAAGACACATCTGTCTTTGCTGAGATTAAAAGCATGTGCCATCATACTCAGCTAAATGGCCACTGGTACTAATGATCCTTGGGGGCCACCTCAGTGTCCCCAAACCACCACAAGTGGCAGAGTCCCTCCAAGACCATATCATGGTGTCCTGGCAAAGTTACTACTCTCAGAGGTTGGCACTGGTCCCAACCTGACCCGAGTTGAGAGCAGCACAACAGCAAGTTGGAGAGACCTGGGGGTCAGGACCACTGCAGGGGAGGACACAGAACACCAATACCCATACTCAAGAGTTCTGGCAAACCCAGACGGAAACCTAAAGGAAGTGTGTACCCACAAAGTACTAATCCCCTGCTCCTAAACACCCTAGCACTCTTCAGTGCTGGTGACTGCCAAAACAGACAGTGTTGGGCCTGGTAGCATACGTCCACATGGAGGCAGAAGGGTCAAAATCACAACCCTGCCTAGGCAGCTCAGTGACATCAAAATATTTAAAAAGCATAAAGACAGTTGAGGATGTAGATGTATCTCAGTGATAAGAATCACATATAAATAGCATGCAAGGCCCTAAGTTTAAAAAAAAAAAAAAGGACAACACACACAAACCACCAATCTGGGGGTCAGTTTGCAAACCCCCTGATGAGTGATACGTGTGCATGTGTGCTGAGGTGAAAAACGGGACTGCTTTCTGGAACCACTAGCTTCTCACACTGCACAGCCTGAGCTCAAGTAGTACCTCAGGCTCATGGGGATACTCCTGAACCTGAACCAACAGAGCAGACACATGCTCCCCTAATGGAGAAACATTAGCAGAATCCTGGCAAGGTTCACACCTCTAATTCCAGCTCTTGGGAGGCTGAGACAGGACTACCTTGGAGTTCAAGGCCAACCTGGGATACATGAAATGCTTACTCAGAAAACAAGGAACCTGCCGGGCGAAGTGACACACTCCATTAATCCCAGCACTTGGGAGGCAGATCTCTGTCAGTTCCAGGACAGCCTGGTCTACACAGAACCCCACCCACCCAATCTCAAAAAAACAACTCCCCAAAAATCGATTCGAGTAAACCAAATGTTTCTATGTCTTCTGCACCTCACTACCAGAGCTTCAGTAGCAGCGATGATACATGTTACTCTTTTTTTAAAAAAATTATCTTCTTAAAAAAAAAAACCACACACATCCTGGTGGCAACTGGATGCCACTCCATTCCTTCAAGAGATCCGTCAAGGACTCGAGGGAGCCCCTGCAGCCCAGAAGCGTGACGCGGTTCCGGCCCTATCGGGTCCCGGCGACCGCGCGCGACCACAGGCTCCCGAGTGGCGGGACACTCTGGCAGGTACCTCGCGTGACCCCTCCGCTCAGCAACCAAGGAGCCGGGCCCGCGTCCCCAAGCCCCGCGAGCGCCAGGGCTGGGCGCGGGAGCGGACTCAGGGCGCCTCAGGCACCGCCTCTCAGAGAGCCCCGCCGGGCCCGGCCTACCTGCAAGGCCTCAGCTTCCCGCGCCACCCTCCAGACGCAGCAGCACGTTCCCTCACCGGCCGACAGCCTCACGCCCGGCCCACCCCGGAAGTGATTGTAGGAGCGCGCGGAGCACCCCGGGAAGATGGCGGACGTCCTGTTATTGGCCCGCCACAACGGCCAATGAGATGGCAGATACGAGGAGCCGAGCCTGAGGCCGGGAGGTGGGCGGAGCCCAGCGAAGAAGAGGCGCCACTGGCTCCGCCGGGGGCGGCTCGCCCGGCCGCGGTCCGTGGCCTTGTTCAGCCCGGAGACAGGGCAAGTGGACAAGCGGAGCGGCGCGAAGCGAGTGGGAGACCGCGAAAACCCACGAGACGAGGGGTTGATCCCGCTGCGGGTGGCAGGGAGTGCGATCCTCCTTCTGTTTTAGCACCAGCAGGTTTGTCCCGCTGCCTTCCAGTCCCCTTGACAACGACGCCTGGCGCGGGGCGGAGCGAGGCGGGGCCAACCGGCTTCGGGGAGAAACCGTGAGCTCCTTGGTCCTCTGATCCAGCCCATGCTCTTTCCTCTGTGGTCAAGCCTTCCTCTAACCCCAACGCTTTGCGCACCTAAAGGACGATCAGTCTTGGGTGCACTCTTCACCTCCGTGATTCTGTACCTCACTGCCAGAGTCCCTGTTAGGAAACATCCGGCTGGTGGGTATATCAAAAGTGGTCCCACCTGCGGCTCTCAATTCAGGATCGCCAAACACCTGTCCTTGCTTACAAGATTCAGAGGCTTAAAGCCCCGACTCACCTCCCTGCTGCTGCCCTGGTTCGGCAACCGCTAGTTGATCTGCCTGGTCCGCTTGGCCTTCACCCCACAATCCTAAAGTCCCTTTGTCCACCGAGGGCCGAGCAAATTTTTTTAGGGTGAGATACAAAGGGAGGCGGGGCTGAGCCAGCGAATCATTTGAATGATAACTAACAAAATCTTCTGGATAATGGATCTTAAACCCCTAACATATAATTTTAATTATATGTATATGTGTAAAGGTAGGTATGTATGTACTTCGGTGCAGGTACCAGTGGACACCAGAGACATTTGGGCACCGAATTCCAGTCCTTTACAAGGGTAGTAGAGGACACTCTTAACTGTTGGGCCATCCCTTTAGCCCCTAAATCCCTTTTCTCATTGCTGGGGATTGGATTCATGTCCTGTCCATTATATATGCCAGTCAAATGCTCTACCAAAGAGGTGCATTCCCAGACCTTAACTTTGATTCAACCTCTCTTTGGTATTTATCAACCTCTCTATGCCTATAAAATGGAAATAATAATAATATGTCTTAGTTAGGGTTTCTGTTGCTGTGAAGAGATACCATGATTATGGCAACTCTTATAAAGGAAAACATTTAATTGGGCTGGCTTACAGTTTCAGAGGTTTAATCTATTGTCATCATGGTGGGACATGGTGGCATGTAGACAGACATGGTGCTAGAGAAGGAGCTGAGAGTTCTACATCTGAGAGATCCACAGGCAACAGGAAGTGAACTGTGTCACTGAGTATAGCTTGAGCATTGGAGACCTCAGCGCCTACACACTTCCTCCAACAAGGCCACACCTGCTCTGACAAAGCCAAACCTCCTAATAGAGCCACTCCCTATGGGGGCCCTTTTCTTTCAAACCACCACAAATATATATATATATATATATATATATATATATATATATATCCACTATATATATGTCATGTATATTT